CCAATGGTTTAATCATTCCAAACAGTAAAGTCCATTGGGTTTTTTGACAGATTTTAGAAAGTCCAAGGGTTTATTTGTTCCAAAAAATTGTCCAAGAATTTAATCGTTCCAAACAATAAAATCCATTGGGTTTTTTTGAACTTTTCCCGATAAGTAAATAAGTTGTTTGTTATAAGGGACGGAAGCATTTATATCGATATATATTTTGGGGGAAGGTGGTCAGTGAAAACTCGCCGAAGGTTTTCCCCATATATTAAATCAAAAACTGCTCGATAACTTTCCACGAATTCAGAATGCATTTCCGTTAAGGGACCAGCTGGTTAGATTTTTCAGCAACTGACTTGAAATCAAGAGGATGAAGATCAATAAGGCCTGTGATCTCAGCTCGATTTCTGTTCTTCCTCCTCAATCAAGGTTCAGTTTCATAATTACAGCTCTAAGTGTCCGTTGTTTTGCATGTATCTTATGTATTGGTGTGTGTATGTGTGTTCTTTGAGCTATTGTGTGCGTTCTGGTAACGAACTTGTAGCAGATGAGTATTTTTTTTCCCTGTGTAGAAAAATTGTGCGCTTTTTGTGCTGAATTGAATTTTAAGTGCAGCATGATTTCTGTGTATTTTGCGAAGAAGTGGAATTGTGAAATCTATATCTATATATTCCATCTGCATCTGCAGAGTGCGTGGGAATGCAGCGAGTGATTTTATGTGTTATAACCGCATGTGCTGTGATGATGTGGAATTTGGCATGTAAATCGTCGTCGTCCTGTGCGTATTAGCAATTGGTTTCATATATGCTATTTTCAGCCGATTTTGTGTGATTTTGAGTGAAATATCGAGTTTTAATGTATATATCTGTTAACATCTGTATATATGTTTGAAACTTGGACGGTTCTCTGATGAAATTGTGCTGGTTTTTGTGATCAATTGTTTGTGTTTGCGTTAGTGCTTGAAACGATAGGATCTTTCTAAGTTTCTGTGTCGACTGTGATAAATTGACATAGACTTGTAATATGCTTAACAAGTGCATTGTGAAGAACTAAACTTGAATATAGTGTTAAATGTGTTACATTTTACGCTGACTCGTGTCATCTAGGACACATTGTAGTTTGACTTATATATGATTATAAATGCAATTGATTTGGTGTGTGTTTTCAGCTACAAATGTGTATATTTCGTGAAGAACTGACATTTAAGTGTTTGCAATTGAGTTTGTGTGTATATGTGTGAAATTGAGATAAACCCTTTCTTTAATCAGTGCGTTATGTGGAGAATAGAGACTTGGCATGCAAATGACTGTTTTCATGTCTACAAGTGTGCTAAATCTTTGTGTTTAATTTGGTGATGTTACGAAATTTAGAAGGAGATCAGGCATCTCAAGTAGTGTGCCAGAGATGTCTTCGACTTTTAGGCACAACCAAGGACCATCACAACAGCAGCAGCAACGGTCGCAGCAATCACTTTCTCAGGGGTTTTCATCTCAGCATCATGCCATTTTCTCTCAGTTCTCACAGAATTCTCAAGATGAGACATTGACGAACGACCAGGTTTGTCTGAAAGCTTTTTTGGATCAAATGTTTATACTTTTGAAGTATGGCTGAACATACTTTCACAAGTTATCTCATATGAAATATTCCATATGCGGCATCTTGTCTCACTACCCTCTTGTGTACATTGTCAGACATACATATCTCTGATCCTCAGATCTGACTCCATACTTTGTGGATCAACCTTGGAAAGAATAGAAGTGATTAATATAAAATTATGCGCCTCATTTTGGTTTTGGTGTTGTGATGCTAAGCTAACCTGAATAGTATGAGAACTTCTATAATGTTTATTTGATTCTCAATTTTTCAATAGCTATTTGCATTCATCGGTAAAATAGCAGATGAAGTATATGTTTCAATACAATGGAACACTTGAGTAATATTATGAATATCGACCAATATTTAGATTAAGATCTTCAACCATGTTTAAGTTAATTTCCAGTTAACTATTGCATTCATATATATAAACCCAAGACTGAGGTGCTTAACCACAAGGGTGGTGCCCGATTGGTTTAAGCTTGGGCCCCAAAGGTCAAAAGTGTCTGGAGGTCCCAGGTTCGAATCCAAGGAGGAATAAAAAATCCCCTTGTGGCCATGGAGGTTCAAATGCAGTGACTCCAGGCACGGGTGGTCGCCATGGGATTAGTCTGCTTACATAGCGGGTTGGGTATCCAGGTTAATCAAAAAAAGAAAAAGACTGAGGTGCTTAGAACTAGAATTATGTGTGTAGTTGATTTATTTTTTCAAAGATTACTTGAATTTACTCGATATGTATAGTTGCTATGAGCAACATACTAAGCTTTATGATTGTGGTTGAGAATGAGATATCATTTCATGTTCTCTACAAGAACAGCATACTTCTTTTCCTTTCAACTTCATACTGAGCTCTGGATCACACAACTGAGGTTAACATATTTTACTTTCTTCACTGAAACTCTTTATAGTTAGTTGTTTCTCAAGAAAGGGAGAGTTCCTTGAAAAGGTTTTCATCCTTACCCCCAGTCAATCACACACGAGAAGAAGGTCAAATGCCATTATCAAGATCTTCCACAGGTTTAATCCGTAAGTGGGGTTCTGCTATTTCAGAGCAAAGATGTAAGTTTTTGTGGAGTTTACAATTTGGCTTCTATAACACAAGTATGCACGGCCTTAAGATTCTCGCTTTCTACTCTGTAGTTATCTTGATGTTTCAAAATTCATGGGCAGGCCAGATGGGTGAAGAATTTGAGCACAGGATAGGAACAATAGAAAGTTCACTAAGCAGGTTTGGATTGATGTTAGAATCTCTTCAGACGGATATAATGCAAGTCAATAAAGGAACAAAAGAACTAGCAATGGATAGTAAGTAGATCAATCTCATAATTTACTGAATAGCATGATTCAGAGAAAGAAATGTCATGTTTGAAAAGATATTTAAAATTCTTTACCTTGGTAATAACTGGTAGGCTAAATTATAAAATCTCCACTCCTAAAATTCGAAAGTGGCTCCTATATTCTTCTTTTTTAATATGTTTAGATCCATATCGTTCCTGAATGTTTCATTATTTATTACATCATATTCATATACTGTTTGAATAACACTTCACTGCATATACATATATAGTGAATTTCAGAATACATCAAGGCTTACTACCCTTTGTTAATAGTGAACCACCTTCTTTCCCTTGCCGATATATTTTTCGGATTTCCATGAAAAACCAGAGAATGACAAATAGAAAGTTACAAAATGAGCATACATGTCAATTTATAATTTTAGTTACACAGAAATTTGAAATGTATGACATACTGACCTCTCCCTATTTTGTTGACATTCAGTGGAAAGCATTCGCCAGAAGTTGATTGCAAATGATAACACCTTCCAGATGATTGTTAGAATACCTCCTATCCTCCCAATAATTTTCTTTCTTTCAAACTTCTCATTCTTTTGAAATTCTGATTCATATTTTCTAACTTGAGTGAAATACTCTTACCAGAACAAGGGGCAAGAAGACCTGAAATCTAGCCTTCATGGAGACTTGAAGTTGATTTCTGATCAACTCAATCAAGATAGATGTAACAAAAACTCACAGGATATTTCCATCTTGCTCTCCAGTTTACAAGAAAAGATTGGAGTGTTCATATCAAACTTGCGTAATGATCTCTCCAAGTCTTTCACTAACGAAATGCAGGTATGCGTCCTGAATGCAAAGTGCTGAAACAGTACCAAAACCAAGTCCTTCACATATTTTCAGATGGATAATAAATAAGAATACTTTATAGATGTATAGATACTGTCTCCAACAATCATCTGATTACTTACAGGCAATTGCATGCAAGCTTAAAGCACTGGACCAAAAGAATCCGTCACCCACCGTTCTCCTACCGAAGGTACTTTTTTGTGTCAATATTCTGCTCCTGGTGTTTCAGATGACAAGATATTCTTCCTTACGTCTTGCCCAAACGCAGGCTGTCAGCTATTGTGCCAATCCTCTGGGAAAAGCCCCAAAGATGTATGCCCTGTATTCTATTTCTTTGTTTTCTCAGCTTTCATTGCAGTTTGTTGCTCACTACTGGCTGTTTAAGGATCAACTCATTTATTTATGTGGAATGTAACAGAAAAATGAAATTTATGGATACAATGTTGCTTCCTTATAATCACCACAAAAGTAATTAGAACAACGTTGGAGCTATGTATAAGCTGCAACTTCAATTTCATATGATCTTGTAAAATAATTGAATTTGTCTACCCTTTTGACCAGGTTACTACAATATTTAGATCATAGAATCATTACCCCATCTATTTCCGGCAACTAACATGGTTCGATCACCGTATCACCATGGTTAGTGACTTGACAAATAGTTTACTGGAACCGTTTCGCCACTAGTCAAATATCTAAATTATTCCTCGATTGTGGACCAAATTCAATGGTTTTTGGTGATTATAAATGGCAAAGAGGTAACTATTTGTTGAAACTCTGAGCTAAGGGAAATGTTGCATTTGGTTTTGGATGCCAGTATTATTTAGCTTCCAGTTGGCTGCTTATCTTAGTAACACTATCATTTGCCTAATGGTGCAATGAACTAACAAGTTTTTACTGATTACAGTCGAGTAGTGCCTCCCAAGATAGAAATGGGCACCTGGAACTCGGTAAAACGTGAACATGTTACTCTCACAAATAGAGATTACAGCAAGGGACACAAACACAACAAAGTATCTCAGACTGGACTGGTATTTGCTGTTTTTTTCTGCATTTAATTTAAATAATTCCTCTCTAAGGTGATGCTAAAATGCTAAATTTTCATTCTTCGATACAGGATTTCCTTATAATGATTTGAATATTTTCTTTCTTCTAAGATAGTTCCTTCCATTAATTCTTTATTGAACTTGAACTTCCATCATTCATTGACATTGTCACTCCAATTACGGATTCATGCTCATTTAATTTTGTTTTTTTTAGCATGAGACCATCCTGCTGAAAATATGGAATGCTAAGAAAACCTTACATCATGCTCGCACACATATATCTACGCATGTGTGTGCGTGTGTGTGTGTATGTGTATTTGTATATGTATATGTTTATCCGTGTGAACATATACACTTACATGCATATATGTATGCATACTTGCATAAACATACACATACTCACACACACACGCGCGCACACACACACACACATATATATATATATTATAATCAAAGAATTGCTGTAATGTGATGTAGGACAGAGAATGGAGAGTTGTCACTGAATCTGATGAAGATATTGCTGGAGGTTTCACATTCTTGTCCGAGGAAAAGGGAACAGGTAAGTACACGTCTCTTAATATTTTCTTGTAATTGCAATTTTATCAATTTATAACATATTGCAACCAGAAAATAATGCTCCCTCTTTCCAAAGAAATGAATTTTATAGTTTACTTTCGAGGATCAGTTTGGTACTTACAAATGTGAAATTTGATTAGGGAGTGGTTTTTGGTTCACGGAAAAAATGATCATTGCACTAAATAATAAAAAATTGCTAACATAAAGAATTTTAGAGTAGCAAAATCAAACATGTTTGGTCAGTTGTGAATCTGAAAAACGGTGGTTTGAATTTCTGAAGTCAAAAGTGGATTATTTCTCTTGGGGACAAGAGTATGAAAAAAAGAAGATCAATACAGATGAGGTTTGTAAGTTTATTTAATGAGGGGGAAATTCATTTAGGAACTGTAAATATTTTGACAACTGTGAGAACCAACTATTCATGATGAATAATATATAAATATTCGTGAATAAATATTATTCATCATGAATATCATGCATTTTTATTCATCGAATATTATTCATCATGATATTGATCATAAATATTCATGGTAGTCATCATGAATAGTTGGTTCTCACAATTCTCAAATGAACCTGCCACTATTGACCGCTTATGTTACGTCTGATGTACATGTTGCCTTTATGACATGAATTTTGCTGTAAGATGTAGGAATATATTCAATCGAGAAAGCTAAGGAAGAAACTGAACGTATTCTAAGGAAAGCAAGGAGAAGAAAGAGAAAACAGTGCAATACTATAATTATAAACTGAAGATGGTGAGTCCACTCTGTGTTACAATACCCAATTACCATGGAAACTATATCCCTTTTAGGGGCCATTTACCTAATGCTTATCAGGGTAAGTGCTTACCGGCAAAATTCAACACTATCACTTACTTACCGGGTAAGATTTTAGTCCACCAAAACGGTACCATATGTAACAATTTACCCAGTAAGCACTAACCGTGTTAAGAGTCGTCGTCACTTACCGGTAAGACTCTCTATCCTTGCCTTCGCTCTTACGGGGTCGTTTACCAAACACTTACCCGTTAAGCGCTTATCGATACAATTCAACACTATCGCTTACTTACCGGGTAAGATTTTAGTCAACAAAAACTGCATCTTATGCAACAATTTACACGGTAAGCGCTAACCGTGGTAAGAGTCGTCGTCCTCATACTGGGTAAGATTCTCTGTCCTTGTCTTGTTCTTACCAGGTAAGATTTTTTGTTCTTGTTTTATTCATCCGGAAAAATAATATGACTTGATAAGCGCTTACCCAGGTAAGTGTTTGGTAAATGGCCCCTTAGTCCTTGCAATATTTATCCGGTAAGATAATGTGAGTTGGTAAGCGCTTACCCAGTAAATTGTTGCATTCAATATGTTTTGATATACTAAAATCTTGCGCATCAAAATAAATCATAGTGTTGACTCCTATCAGTAAGCGCTTACCGGGTAAGCAATTGGGTAAACGGCCCCTTAGTGTCCACTTTTAATATTGAAGTTATACAAGCTTTTACAAGGATTAATAGTTATGTTAACCTATGAGAAGATTAATATTATATAAAAAACAGTTGGGCGTCAAAAGAACAATAAAGATAAATGTAGATTTTCATCATGGAAGGTCGTTTACCAAAAGCTTATTGAGAAAGCGCTTACCGGGTATCCATTACCTTGGGTCATTTAGAGAAATGACCTTAAATAAAATTTTAATTTAAATTCATGACCTTCTGACCTATTAAAGAAAAAATGGTTTTATACTCACGAGAAGGTCATGGATTTAATAAAAATCTCGTTTAAAAAGGTTATACACCTAAAAATCTCCTATCCGGTGAGCATGACAAGCACTGAGAATCTTACCCAGTAAAAGACATAGCAAAGACCGATAATCTTACCCGGCAAGCGAGGGAGAAGACGTAAGCGCTTAGTGGGTAAAAGGCGTCTGCCAACAATCCATTTTGATGGATGAGAATGTTACCCGATAAGGTAAGTGAGGGTGGTGAATCTTGCCAATAAGCGCTTGTACAATAAGCTTTTGGTAAACGGTCCTTAGTTTTGAAGTTTCAAGATAGTTGACTCTAATTATTATAGACGGATGGAAGCATATTTTAGGATGCTTTCTTTCTCCTTCCATTGTCAGGCTTGAATCAACAACCGGAATACTTTTTACTCATGTCTTATGAAAACTTCAAAATTTTCCATTTCCAAATGTCTAGTAGCAATTCTTTTTGACGAATACTGAGGTTGAAATTACCAAATTTCCCATCGGCATCATCAATATTTCCTACTTTGTCATCTTTAAATATTTTAGACTTTTGAAATTAACCACCAGTCGAAGACTTGTACAAAACTACATGTAAAGTCAACTGTTGCAGACCTAAACAACAATATTGTGTTATATTCCCTGAACTGGATCCATCCGTGTGGAATATGTGATCAGTTTGTAAAATCCACACTCATCATTTAACGTTACTCAGCTTCTGTTTGTTGCGTTTGTTGCGTTTGTTGCAGCCTTGCAGGTAGAACTTGGATGCACGAATGCTCATATGAATCGATACATTAGAGAACTAGCTTATCTGTGAATAGCCACTGAATATGGTAGCTTAAAGCTTACATCAAAGGTTTCCATCATTTAAGGTGTTCATGTATATGATATATCATTCACTTCTTTTCAAGTTTTATTCTGGTTTTATGTTCAAATTCTTTCAAGTTCTTTATGTTCTCTGTAATAAGAAAGATGTTATTTCTATGACATGGACCTATCACACCAAGCTTCATTTACATAACTTTTCATTTCCCGTCAGTTGTTCGTTTGAGGCAGATAATAGCGCCTCTCGGAGACTCGACCCTTTAAGCCAATGCTATAATATTAGAGTGAACTACACTTTTCTCCACGTGGCTTGTTGGAGAAATACAAAAGTGGTCCCAATTTTTCGTATTTTTCAACAAACCACATGGACGAAAACTATAGTTCCTCTATTATTTATGTGCATCTCCTTACAAAAGCGTGCAAGATAGCTTAGTTACTTTTTGTTAAAGAGCATGACTGTATGAGTTGCAGCCTGCATGTGAAACCTGTGTCTTACCATGAACGCTAGAAAAAGGTCTTGTGGTCCATTTCTTTTAGTGAGCCTGAAAGGATTCTTTCGATATTCAATAATTTTTGTGTTAATTGGGATTGCTTTAACGACATCAAAGAATGAAGTACATTCATTTGACATAATTGGCAAGTCTCGTTAACCCAATTACACAACGTCTAACCTTAGATTTGTCGTTTTATCACCTCAATGGGGCAGGTTGGGTACATCATCGATCTCTTTTTTATCAATGTCTACCGACAAAAAGTATATTTTGTAGCCACTTTTACTTTTGTATTAACCACAAGGGTTGTGGTGTATGGTTGAGGCTTGGGGATGTGGTTCGTACACAACAATTGTGACCACTAAGTTTATCAAGACTGATTTCTTGAAGTCATAATTTACCGGAATTAAGATTAGTCTAAGTACAGACTGAGACACCATTCTAAAAAATACTTGTATATTCATACTTGTGAGAGTATCTTTATGATCGTCTTTGTTCCGTTGCTAAAAGGCCGTTTACCAAATTTTTTGTTAAGTCATGTATGAATAAATTTGTCTGTCTGGATAAATGCGTATTGTTGTTTACTTTTTTTTATCTGAACCAACAGTCTAAATAACATAAATGCCCAAATTTACCCCCCAATATTAATTATTTGAACATCAAAACAAAAAATCATAAAGAAGCCGAAGATGGGATGTCTCATATGGGAAAGAGGCGGTGCTTTAAATAAGAGAAAGGAGTGTCATTTTTGTGGCTAAATGGGGACATCACACTATTTATATCTGTACGATTAAGTCATGTTTTGTGCGAATAAGCCATAAGTAAACTACCCAAATAAACTTAGCGAATAAGCTAGACCAATAAACTTAATTAAGCCGCAAGTAAACAACCCCTAAATCTTCTCCGCACTCGGAAAAGAAAAGGTATATGCACCATAATCTAGTTTGCATCAACTTCGCTGAACGACATTTATTATTAAAGTTAAAAGCAAGTTCTTTTCATTCATTCAGAAAACAAGTGTGGAATTGTAAAAAACCAAAATCATAAAAGTAAACCTTTTAGTTATGCCAACATGATGTCCCTTCAATCTATTGGACCCTCGTAATTGATGCGATTACGAGAGCGTGAGCGTTTGACTCTCGAGTTACGGGCCTTATCTTTATTGGGTATTTAGCTTGATTGTCTAATGAATGGGTCCGGTCGGCTTACCATAACTTTTTATATTGCGCTCCATATATCTAATATATGTTATTCGATTAAAAGGATATTTATCAAATACATATTTGGGAAACTACTTATTAAATTATATTATTTTATTGAATGAATATGACAAGGACTTAAGATTCTATTGAACAAAGACTTTTGTCACGGTTAACGTTTACCGGGTAAATTGTTCGATACGATGTTGTTTTTGTGAATTAAACTCTTATCCGGTAAATAAGTGATAACGTTCAATTTTACCGGTAAATGTTTGATAAATGACCCTTAAATGTCTTTTTGTTCATAGTTATTGAGTTTAATGGGTTAAGAGAGCTTTATGTTGAAAGTAGAGTTTTTTTTTTCTTCTAAACTTGTCGTTTCTAATAAAAAAACACGTTCGTTCCATCTATGAAAAAACTTTTCAAAACAAAAAACATTGAAATCTATACAGACAAAATTAATCAACACAATAACTTTATTCATACAAAACTTAATGTAATACCAATCAAACAACCCCTAAGAAGCCGTTTATCAAATGCTAATTGGGTAAGTGTTCATTGGTATGAATCACCATATTCACTTATCTTATTGGATAATATTTTTGACCAATCCATCAAAATAATTTGTTGGTAGACATCTTTTATCTGGTAAGCTTTTATCAGATAAGAGTTTTTTCTTCTCAATTATCGGATAAAATTCTCGATCCTTATTATATCCTCTTACATGATAGAATTTTAGGTTTTTGTTATCCTCATCGATTAAACACTTACCCAATAAGCATTTGATATAAGATTCATGAAATAATCATAAACTCCAAACTGTGAGATGAAAATATCAATGACTAGACTACGATTATTCACAATATTTCCCAACCCAATCTCTATTTTTTTATAAGCGATCGAATCCAATCAAAATTATTATTTTATAAAAATTATATATTTAATTATTATCTTTTAACTTTAAGTATAAAAAATAAATTATATAAATCGTTATATATTTTAAAACTTAATTATAATTATTAAAAACTTATAGTACAACTAAAAATAAATAAAAAAAATTCACAAAAATATGTACAAAATTACATATCTGAAGCTTTTGTCCTATTCACAATCTAGTTGTTCATATTATGAATAAATGTGATATTATGACTAGTATAAGGTGTCGTTTATTCAATGCTTACTCGGTAAGTGCTTACCAGTAGAAATCGATATTATAATTTATTTTTGTCGGATAAGATTGTAGTAATATCAAAGCAGTACCCTATGTAACAATTTACCCGGTAAGCGCTTACCTGGGTAAGAGTCGTCACACTCACTTACCGGGTAAGACTCTCATCCTTATCGTCGTTCTTACCAGGTAAGATTCTTGGCCCTTGCCATGTTAATTCGGTGAGAAAAATTGTCCGATAAGCACTTACCGAATAAGCGTTTAGTAAACGACACCTAAATGTAATTTTTCCATTATGTTCTTTACTTTTTTTTATTTTAATAAATAAGTAGATAAATAAAACTTTTTCTAATAAAGTTAGTTACGACGATCTATCAATTCAATTTACTTACATATTTATAAATACGTCAATTACAATAATTTTGATTAAAATTAATCAACACAAATTATCAACTTTGGAAAATACAATAATCTAAAATCTATTGATAATATGTGTTAGGTGATTTGATTATAATTAAAAATAAATAAAATAATATCTATACTATATTATAAAACATTTGACAAAAAAATTTAAAAACTATTTTTTATACATGAAATACTGTTTATTGATGCATATTACTTAAACTTTAGAATTACAAGTAAATTATATGCAGATACAACTTATTAAAGTTTTATTTTTGAATTTGTGTAACTAACTGTAGATAAACATAATCAAATAGAAGATAAACATTCTATTTTAAATCTAAAAAATATAATTTGGATAATCATTAAGTTTTAACAAAATACTTAATTATTATTTTTATAAAAAATTATATTATTAATTAAAAAATAAAAAAATGCATTAAAGAAATACGCAAACAAAAGAAACTTTAAATAATTAGTTTGGTACTAATAACAATATTTTTTTATTCAAAAATAAAAATATTATCACTTAAAAATACAATAAAATCGTAATGTATTTCGCTGCATTGTACGAGTACCTTTCTAGTAATTATAAAAACACAATTACTTTTTTATTTATTAATCTAGATATCCAACCCGCTATCCGAGCCGACTAATCCCAATATGACCACTTGCTTTGCAAATAACCCGGAGTCACTGCATTTGGACCTCCGTGACCACAAGAGGATATTTATTCCTCCTTGGATTTGAACATGAGACATCCTGATACTTTTAACTTTTAGAACCAAATTCAAACCAATCAGTCACCACTCTTTTTATTGTTTTCAAAGTCAACTTTAAACCATGAGACTAAATGGAAGAGGGAATTTAATTTGAAATTAAGAAGATGGTTGTTGGATATTCATGATGAGGTTTTGTCATTATTCCATTGCTTCCACTTTTTTTCCAAATAATTGATCATTATTTACATAATTATTAAAGAGGATTGCAGTTAGATCTCTTTGCTTTTCAAGTCTTTAACTTTAAACCATCTTTAACAATTATATTAAATCTGAGATGTTTACAGTTATCTTCAATAACTATGTTATTTTAGAAATTTTTGAACGTTAGAAAAAAATCTGCTCTAACAACAATGATTATGAGATACTCTTAGAGATTTAGAGGCCCCAAATGGTTAGGGGTTGTTTTACAGTTACTGAATTATTAAGTGATCAGAATGATTAAGAGGCTCTCATGATATAGTTCAAAATGAAATATAATTGTTTGGTAATTGTTTACAATGAAATTAGGACGCTAAATGGTTAAGGAAGACCTAGGATACAAAATCATTCAGAGGGTTTTGGAATCATTAAGAGGCAGACTCTTTTTTTTTTGACAAACAAGATTCACCTCTTAACGATTCAGAGTCTGTCTCTTAATGAAACTATTAAGAGGTAAACAAACAACCCCTTACTCGATAAGCACTTAACAAGACCTTTGGTTTCACCAATGATTGTTGATGTAGACAAATTGATAAACCGTATAAATTTAATGAAATGGCATGGTAGTGAAAATAGATCGATTAGAAAATAAGATCTATTATCATGTTAAAATATTTCTTGACTCATCAGATAGCAAATATGATGGTATTTTCAGTCGTTATTGCATTAGGAACTGTACAAAATCCCTACAACAAGCTCGAGTTTATAGGGCACAAAAATGTATAAGTGTCCTAATAGAATGATTTATAGGATTTATGTTTATAAGACCAAATAACTGTGTGTGCTAAGTAAAAACATTGTAGTAAGTTTATATGATTTTTAGGCGTTTTAACAAGCCTTTTACGACATTTTTAAGTT